TGGTCCTGGTCTCAGTCCAAGTCTCAGTCCTGGTCCTGTTCTGGGTATCAATCATGGTCTCAGTTCTGATCTGATCCTGGTCTCAGTCCCGGTCTGGTCCTGGTCTCAGTCCAAGTCTCAGTCCTGGTCCTGTTCTGGGTATCAATCATGGTCTCAGTTCTGATCTGATCCTGGTCTCAGTCCCGGTCTCAGTTCCGGTCTGGTCCTGGTCTCAGTCCAAGTCTCAGTCCTGGTCCTGTTCTGGGTATCAATCATGGTCTCAGTTCTGATCTGATCCTGGTCTCAGTCCCGGTCTCAGTTCTGATCTGGTCCTGGTCTCAGTCCTGGTCCTGTTACGGTATCAATCATGGTCTCAGTTCTGATCTGATCCTGGTCTCAGTCCCAGTCTCAGTCCCCGGTCCACCCGGTCAATCCTTGTCTGGTCCCAATCCAAGTCCTGGTCTCAGTCCCGGGACGAATTGTTACCCATTTTTTCCTTTTGTTTTTGGAGACAAATAATGAAGAAAATCTTTTTTTTTTTTTTCCGTTTTCTTATTTTTTTGGTTTCATATTGAAAAACGAATGAACGAATGATACAGGGATTTTTGACAGCTACACTTCTATTTGTTGCCTTGCTGTGGTCCTAAAAACATTACACACCATTATTCAAGCTGCATTTATACGATACAATCCATCTGAAAAGGATAACATTACAACCATTCGCTATATCATTAGTTTGTCGGATAAAGCCGAGTGACTCAACCATCAGCGCGGCTCTCCCCGTAGCGAGGGCTCTTATATAACACGTGATCGACTGAAATCAATCCGGCGCTCTTCACAGGGGGTTAACTTATTGTATTAACATATTGCGACGTGGCGGGGCTTCTGTGAGTTACCGTCGTCAGCAGCTCGGGTCATAATGCGTATTAGCAATGTAGCGCTGTGACACGCTCTGTTAGCTTTAGCGTCTCGGCGGAGAACATGTGTGGATGTGCACTTAGCTCCACTGATTTTTACGGCGCTGGTGTTTACGGAGTGTGACGTGTCCGAGCGTCTCACCCTCTGGTTTAACAAACAGCCCCCGATTCACAACGGGAAGCGCATTAGCATAAAACATGGCAGTGCTATTGTGGAGCGGCGGAGTCGTTAGCGTGTGTGTGCTGTCAGTGATGTTCAGTGGAGCTGCTGTGTTGTTTTTTTTGTAGTGTTGTGTAAAAGTATTGGTAATTTGATGTGGCTGTGGTAAAAGCGCTCAGATTTACAGATGCTATAATTATCAATTCTCCTTTGACATTTTTTTCTAAACAGTTTAAATTCCCAAAAGCTACAACCAAAGTTTTTTTTTTTTTTTTTTTTTTCGTTTTTTTTACTAACACTGAGCTATGACCTGAGCTCCAGCTGACAGTAGTCCTTATACACATTGCTATGGAAATCAACCACAGATTTAATGTGACCTGAGCTATGACATTAGGTATGACCTGAGCTATGACCTGAGCTCCAGCTGACGGTAGTTCTTATACATGTTACTATGAAAACAGGCACGCTTTTAATATGACCTGAGGTATGACCTGAGTTCCAGCTGATGGTAGTGCTTATACACGTTACTATGGAAACAAACACAGCTTTAATATGACCTGAGCTATGACCTGAGCTCCAGCTGACAGTTAAGATTGTATACTATTGCAAGTACCACTACTACCACAACTAATACTAGTACTACCATTACTAATACTACAACAACAGCTACTACTACTTCTACTACCACCACTACTACCACTACTACTACTACTACTACTACTACTACTACTACCTAGTACTACTAATGGTGATACTAAAGTATGATGTGTACAACTTCACTACTGCCTCTGCACCTACCATGATGACAACTTCGACGACTACTACTACTACTACTACTACTACTACTGCTACTACTACTACTACTACTACTAGCTACTACTACTATTACTACTACTGCTATTATTACTGTTCCTACTACTACTGCTATTGCTACCACTGCTGCTACTAGTACTAATAGTGCTAGTACTACTACTGCTGTTACAGCTACTACTATTATTACCGCTACTATAACTACTACAACTACTATTATTACTACATCTACTACTATTACTCCTACTACTGTTGCCACTATTACTAAAAGTACTGTAACTCAAATACACACAGCAGTTTCACACTTGGATGCCGCTATTTGACATAATATGGAAAGCCTGTAAAAGTACACAGTGCCAAGTCCATATTTGTGTAGTGGTACGTGATGATGGTACAAGTACAACTCATTAAACATTAGTCACATTGGATGGGTACAGCAGATCCTGTTGCTTCTGTTTTCTGTTACAAAGAAACTCCCCATAAAATTACCATCTGTCAACAGCCCAATCTGGACTCTCTCAAAAGTGCTCAAGACACCGTGATGCAGGCGGAGAAATCAAGACGCCATATTGGACCAAAGAATGCAAACAGACTATCTATAATACTGTGTGTACTGGAAGTGTACTGTGTGTATTCTGGAGGAAAAGTAGTAGAAGTGGTTATAGTACTAGAAGTAGTCCACCTTGTGCCACCAAGAGGCTCAGATTACTCTGGAAGAAATTCAGATTCAGATATCAAAATTTTGTATTATAGCAGAAGTACTGGTAGTGGGAGTAGGAGTAGGAGTAGTAGTAATAGTAGCAGTAGTAGTAGTATGAGTAGTAGTAGGAGTACTAGTAGGAGTAATAGTAGTAGTAATAGTAGTAGTATTAGGAGTAGTAGGAGTAGTAGTACTAGCAGTAGTAGTTGTAGTAGCAGTAGTAGTAGTAGTAGTAGTAGGAGTAGTAGTAGTAATAGTAGTAGTAGTGGTAGTAGCAGCAGTTGTCAGATAAGAGGTAGTAGTAGTAGTAGTAGTAGTAGTATCTGTAGTAGGAGTTGTTGTTATAGTTGCAGTAGTAGCAGTTGTAAGAAAGGAGTAGGTAGTAGTAGTAGTAGTAATAGTAGTAGTAGTAGTAATAGTAGTAGCATCAGCATCACTAGCAGTTGTTGTAGTTGTAGTTATAGTAGTAGTCGTAGTATGAGTAGCAGTAGTAGTATTAGATATATAAATACACTGATATTTGAATCTTTGCTGCTGGAAGGTTCAGATTCTGTGGCAGAATTTTTAGTTAAAAAATGCAAATGTCTCATCATGGTTCATGGTTAGTCTCACATTAATTACACGAACTCTCCAAAAACTGGCACAGAGTTCAACATCGTCTCTGTCACGAATCAAATCCAGATTTATACAGGGTGTATTTGGAGATATATTTTAAACTTTTGAGCCTTGAACACGGTTTGACATTTTGATCCCCTTCATTTGGAAAGTGAAACTAAAGCTTTAAGCCATGTTAGAATGCTGTTATGCCCTCAAAAACAGACCTGGAGTTGTGTTTTGTTTCTTTGACACATTTGAATAACTCTTTATTATTAGTCTTTGTACATCTCCAAAGGTCAAAATGCTCTGTTCCACCTTGTGATGTCATTTAGTGGTAGTTTTCAAGTTAACAGCTACCTTTTATCTTTGGTCAGTAGAGATTGACTAGCCTGATTTATCAGCCCGTTTCACTTCGTGGAAACCGTCTGACCTCGCAGCATTAAGATTTGTTCACTCGACGGTAGACAGGTACTTTTTTTAATTTAACCAATCGCTGCTATTTGGTCGTGACATATGTAATGCGCCGCTAACAGGGATAACTGGTCTTTTAAGCTTTTCCCAAATCCCGTAGGAAGAAGGGCAATAACGTCTTTCTCCTTGATAAAATTCACCAAACCTTCTCGTTGTTCCGGCTTTAAATCCTCGATCTCGGGAATCGTTGCCAACACAGAATGTCTGTCTTCGTCTACATCCATCTCGACCGCTTTGTTTACTGTTGTACTGCACCACAAAAGGGACCCAGGAAGTTGCTTGAGTTTGACTGGCTTCACGGCACCTAGTCAGGCTGCCGCCACCTAGTGCCTCCGCTCAATTTCATTTCTCTCTAGTGACTAGATCAGGAATCAGAATACACTAAACAGTTTGCAAGAACCCTGGATATGTGAGTTCGGGCACGAGCCAATCAGCAAAGAGCCATAGATTCTGTGTTGGCAATGATTCTCGAGATCGAGGATTTAAAGCCGGAACAAAGAGAATGTTTGGTGAATTTTATCAAGGGGAAAGACGTTATTGCCCTTCTTCATATGGGATTTTGGAAAAACTTAATATACCAGTTAGCCCCGTTGGCAGCGCATTACATACGTCACGACCAAATAGCAGCGATTGGTTAAATAAAAAAAAAGTACCTGCCTACCGTCAAGCGAACGAATCCTAATGCTGTGAGGTCAGACGGTTTCTACGAAGTGAAACCGGCTGATGAATAAGGCTAGAGATTGACAGTCCCAGGGCTGAAATCATCCATTTGATTCGAGTGAAGGTGTATGGTGTTTAAAAACAGAATGAAGCACTTCCTGTATTACTCCATGACATCACAAGGTGGAAGAGAGCATTTTTTAACTTTAGAGTTTTAACTGTAGTAATAAAGATTAAACATTACAACATAGATCAGAAAAATAGCGTAATATAAGCCTTTTATTGTAAAACTGATTTATATTTTAAGCACAGGTGTTATCCCACAAAACAAAGCCAAAATTAGAAAAAAAAAAATATCATGACATGCATCTCACGGTATATTTTTTGAGATATTTTGAAAAGGCTTATATAATTGTAGATGGGACACTTTTTTTTTACTTTTAAAATACCCTGACAAGATTTTGGTGTGAATTTTTACTGTCATGAACCCAAGAATTCAAGTAAAAAACATATTTCTTCATGTGGTCTGCACTTAAATGAATCATGGGATATGTAGTTCTCTATTTTTATTAGCTGTTGCTACTATAGAACCATGCATTGAAGCAAAGGAACTTGTAATTCGAGAGACTTTTGACAATACGATATCACAATATTTCGGTTAGTTACATCCTTAATTTGTAATCATTCTCCATTTTGTGTGTTGCAGCCATCGTGGTCCTCTTCATCACTCTGAGACGGAGTAAGAAAGAACCTCTGATCATCTCCGAGGAGGACATCCGAGAAAACGTGGTGACCTACGACGACGAGGGCGGCGGCGAGGAGGACACGGAAGCCTTCGACATCATCGCCCTTCGCAACCCGGCCGCCGCGGAGGAACTCAAATTCAGGAGAGACGTACGGCCAGACGCCAGACCGCAAAGCACTGCTCCGGCACGCCACAGCTCCGCCAGCCCCTCCGTGGACCAGGAAGACGTCCACGAATTTATCCGACACAAACTCGTGGAGGCGGACTTGGATACGAGCGGTCCGCCGTACGATTCGCTCCAAACTTACGCTTTCGAAGGTCAAGGATCTCCGGCAGGTACGATAAGTCCGCTAGACTCTTTCGGAACGCAGTCGGAACAGGATTACAATTACCTGGACGACTGGGGGCCTGAGTTTCAGAAATTGGCGGAAATCTACGGAGACGCAGACTCAGATGTGACGACCTCAAACTAAGAGTACACAATTTTCGTATATCTGGGAATTTGCAGTGGACGTTACTGCAACTGAACTGCTTGGATGAAAAAAAAACAATTTACTGTCAAACTGAAAGCATTTTTATTTTTTAATTTTTCATTTGGGGTTTTGGGGCGTCGGTGGAAAGTACTGGATCAGATTTTGAAAGAAGAGCAACACTACGGGAGATATAAGGAAAACGATATTTTCCTTGGTGTATATTTTTTATTGCTCAATAAAGTCCTGAAATCCATATGGGTGGATATGTGCGAAATTGTGCTTTTGTGTTTTTCCGTCAGCTCCGGATTTACTGCCTGTAGTTAGGATCACCACCAGGGGCAGTATTCTCCAATGGGCTCATCATATACACTACATATACACCATGCACTATATCAATACAAATGATAGCTGTATGGATGGATCGCTTTGTTACTGTAGTATCAAAATGAATAAAAAACAAACAAACAAAAAACATACACAGACCCTAACCCTAAGAGACAAAATTGCCACAAGATCATGCACACAAGAAAAAAATATATATCTTTTTTCCAAGTGTTTACAAAAAAAGATTAATGTGTTGGTGAGTTACATCTCTTACAGTTCCAAAAAGCAAAACTAGAATGGAATCAAAACTATGAAATGAAATAAATAACAAAATTGTGAGGCCAAAATCGGAAACTGAGCCATGAAATGTATAGGAATTATGTTAAAATCTTAAAGTTTTGTCTCATTCTTGTGGACCCAATTTCGTATCTCAACATAATTGGGCCTTTCTTGAATTGTTTGAATTGCACTTCTATCTACTATCATAGTGTTTCCCAAACCTTATTTTTTGGGGACCCACAGTTTAAAGGTCACAAATGAACCAGCAATACTGGAACAAAATAGTCTGTAGAACTGTATATTGCAGACCTACGTGCAGCCCGTTAGCCAGGTTAGTACCACCTAGTGCCTCCGCTCAATTTAATTTCTTTCCAGTGACTAAGGTCAGGAATCAGAATACACTAGACGGTTTGCAAGAACCTCGGAAGATGTAGACCGCGCACCACCACTCAGCGAAGATCTGTGAAGCCATGATGTCAAATTCAAGCGCCTGTCTGGATCCCTTTTGTGGAACATCACAGTAACAAATAACAACAGTAAACAAAGCGTCGAGATGGATGTAGACAAAGACATACATACATTCTGTGTTAGCAACAATTCCCGAGATCGAGGATTTAAAGCTGGAACAAAGAGAATGGTGAATTTGATCAAGTAGAAAGACGTTATTGCCCTTCTTCCTACAGGATTTGGCATATTACATATGTCACGATCAAATAGCAGCGATTGGTTAAATTAAAAAAGTACCCGCCTACCGTCGAGCGAACGAATCCTAATGCTGCGAGGTCAGATGGTTTCCACGAAGTTCTACAGTCTTGTTCTTGTGGACTCAACCTTGTATCTCAAAATAATTGGGCCTTTCTTGAAATGTTTTAGTATCACCTTATACCTCAGTGTTTCCCAAACTTTACTTGCTGGAGACCCATGTAAAAGTCACAAACCTTCGCAACCCGAGTCAATAGACATTATTCGTAAATCACAAAATTAAGATGAACTTGACCATTATTGAACATTAATGAGGATATTTTATTGTTGACTGAGACACTGATCGTGTCTCTCTGAACAATTAGTATTACTCAAGTTTTAAACAATGAAAAACAGTAATTGAACCATCAATAAAAGGATCCATAAGACGCCTATTTGAACATTAAATGTAGCCCATTTCTTTTTCTTTTCAGCATTCAATTGAAGCAGCAATAATGGAACAAAATTACCTGTAGAACCGTATATTGCAGATCTACATGCAGATCTTTACAACCCACCTGAGAGTCACGACCCAGTCTTTGGGAAACAATGTAGTATCAGATCACATGGTATTATGAGGGAAACTACTATTATTATATATATTGTCTGAAAAATTATGATTTGTACTATCACTGGGGTTTCCAGTATCAAAGTCAACTTTAAAATTTTAGTATTATAGCAGCTTTAGTTTTAGGTAAACTCATTAATGAGCCCATATTACGCTATTTTCTGATCTGTTATAATGTTTTCTCATCAAAAAGTGGAGTGGAGTTGTGTTTTGTTTCATTCACACATGTGTTCTTCTCTCACTTTGATAAGTAAGTGCTCCACTGTGTTTTTAAACTCCATGCATCTTCACTAGAATCATTCAAGTCCTAGAATTACCAATCTCTGCTGAACTGAAGGTAAAAGTAATAGTAATAGTTGTAGTCCAGGTCCAGTTCCAGGTTTGTTTTTGTGGAGTTAACAACATTATAAGATGGCTAAAAGCTCACAAGAGTCAGTTTTGTATAATATACTGCAGGATCTTTAACAGTTATTTTGTGTTAAAGTCAGTATCAAGTCTCACCCTTTTATTTTGTTATCGAATTGTTTGAAATTCCAACATTGTGACAACACTCGAGCCTTCTCCTCTGAATGTAAAAGTCACCCTCACATATTGTAATTTAGCAACGGGCCCTTGGGGGAAATCTCACTTTGAGCGATGGCCGCGTATGCTAAAACAGTATAACTTTAGGCAAAATACACCCAACCCAAACACACCATTAGGATCGAAATGAGCGCGAGGCAGGCTCACCAAACATCTAAAATTCATGAGTTTGAAAATGTGTTCCCATGAAAATCAATAGGGAAAGTACAGAGGCGAAAGTGCTTTTATTTCAGAGACTGTGGAAAAGTGGAGAGTGAGAGGCAGTGGAGGGATTGTAATTAAAGACACTATTCTAATGTCTGTGTAGCTGCAGGATAAGTTATAATGATTGCCTGCTTAAATGAGTAAAACCAATGGAAAAAAAAAAATTGAAATAAACTAGATAAATATTTGTCAACTCACTTAAAATGTGATTAAAGGTCCTATATTACGCCAAATTGACTCTTGTGAGCTTTAAGCCATGTTATATTGTTGTTGCCTCATCAAAAACATGCCCAAAGTTCTGTTTTGTTTCATTCACACATGTTTGAGTAACTCTTTATTTTTAGTTCGTCTACATCGCCAAAGCTCAAAATGCTCTGGTCCACCTTATCCAAAAAGCCACTAGGGAGGGGCAACAACCTAAACCAGGACTAAACTGGGACTAAACCAGAAATAAACTAAGACTGAGTGCCGGGACAGGCCCAGAGGTGCGCCCACGTAGACCGTCTGGTGACCACAGGCGAAAGGACCGGTGCAAGCCAAGCCAAGTGCAGGGAGCGCCCGACTTTTCGTTTGGTTCTGGTCTAGCCCTGGTCTAGCCCTGGTTTAGTCCTGGTTTTGTCCTGGTTTAGACCTGGTTTAGACCTGGTTTAGTCCTGGTTTAGTCCTGGTTCAGTCCTGGTTTAGTCCTGGTTCAGTCCTGGTGTAGTTCTGGTTTAGTCCTGGATTTGTCCTGGTTTAGATCTGGTTTAGTCCTGGTTTAGACCTGGTTTCGTCCTGGTCTAGTCCTGGTCTAGTCCTGGTTTAGTCCTGGTTTAGTCCTGGTTTAGTCCTGGTCTAGTTCTGGAGTAGTCCTGGTTTTGTCTGGTCTAGGCCTGGTTTCGTCCTGGTTTCATCCTGGTTTCATCTTGGTTTCGTCCTGGTTTAGACCTGGATTAGACCTGGTTTAGTCCTGGTCTGGGGTGCTTGGCTGTCTTTACCTACTCTAAGGGGAGGCTCACATTCACCCAATTTGAAAACCCCTAATGCAGACATTGGCAGTTCCAATGCTGAAATCATCCAAATGATTCTAGTGAACGTGTATAGAGTTTAAAAACACAGTGGAGCACTTCCTGTTCTACCAAATGACATCACAAGTTGGAACAGAGTGTCTTCTGTTCCAGAGCTTAAATATGCAGGGTTTGTGTGTTAAACATGTGAATGAAACAAAACACAACTCCAGATCTGTTTGTGATGATGAAACATTATAACAGGGATCAGAAATAGTGTAATATGAGCACTTTAATGAGACCGAAATAAATGCCCAATTTAAAGATGGTTTACTGAAAGTCCATTATTAGCTCCATTTAACTTCAGCTTAAGCTCTATTAACTATTTAACATGGCCAATACACTTAATTTGCTGTACATACAAAACGCTCAAAATATTTTAATGCAAACCTCCTTTTCAAAAAGTTTTCTCACCAAAAGTTTAGTTTATAAATAACACATATTTGATGAGTTTAGCCCTCAAACTTCATCTAAACCACACTGCTAACCAACACTGACGCTGGCAGCTGTAGCCTGGTGAAACCTGCTTCACTCTTCAGTGCTCGTGCAGCTGCCTCCATTTGCCCACGCAAACTTAAACTGGATTTTTCTGGTGCAGGGCCTGACACCTGCTGGTCTCCATGGGGATGGGAGATCAAGGGCAAGAAGCTTTACCCGGAATGCTTCACAGTGTGGCATTAAACGAATTTCTAATTGTGATGCCAGTCCACTGTCAGAATTGATTTTATTTTTATTTTTTTAATACTTATAATGCAATTCATAAGTTAATGCCATACAGTGGGACACTTAAAGGTCTTACATTACACAAAACTATGTATTTACAACATTAACATGTTGTTACCTCCTCAAAAAAAAAAAAAAAAAAAAAAAAAAAAAAAAACTATGTGAATTTGATTTTCTCTCAATATGGCATTAAACGAGAGTAGTTTACTTTTAAACTATAATCATAAGAAAAAAAAAAAAAAATCATATGTAACGGATGTAAACAAAAATGTAATTGTAGTAGCAAAAAAATAAAACTACTCTCAGTTCTGGATATTTAGTTGACTACCTAACTAATAAGACAAGTTTCCAATCCACCATAATTCAAATACATAAAGATGTACATGTCTCAAGAACAATGGGGAAAAACAGACAATAAACATATTTAAAAACAAAAACAAAACAAAAAAACTGCATTATAGTGAGGGCCCCAAACTCAAGTTCGCCTAGCGCCCCGCCACTGGCTATCATTTACCTTTTGTTCAGCAAAGATT